GGATAGGGTTTATAATGGTCCTGTTTTCAAAATCCAGAACTGAGACAGAATTTGCTTGGATTAGTATCTCCACTCCCATTTGCACAAAACGAGAACCAATTAAATAAGCAAAATGCTCTCGGGGATGGAAAAACACCATTATGTGAATATTATCCTTTTGTCACACTTCTCACCCTGACAATAAAGTACACTTAGAACATTCAGTTGAGCAGAAGCCCAAGATGCCTCACGATAAACCAAAACCACCCTGACAATGACAAAAACCTCTTAAGATTGTTGAATATTCTTCACATGAAATGTGGTGGTGGGTGCCGCACACACTCACACACAGAAAAAGATTCACACAATCAAACTCCACTCCAAGCACTAGAATTAGAGAGACAAGGAGCCTATTCAGTGTATTGTTAGAGAAAGAGATAAGATAGAAAAGAAAGAACTGACATGATGTGCACATGTGCATCTGTTCGTTTATAATCATGTTTGCATGCACACAGTTTACTTTTTTTATTTTGAAGGGGGGGGGGCATGTCTGTTCATTCATCTGCTCCTTTCTCTCTCTATCTGTCAATCTCATTGTGTGTTCTGTGCATCTGTGCGGAGTTTGGACAGCATCTGCACAGTATTTTCTCTGCTAGGTTTGTTTTCCTCCCCTCTGGCTTGCAAAGTATTCCTCTGTGGGATGTGAGCGCCAGCTATGTGAGGTCTAATTATCCCAAATACTGGGAAATCAGCAGAACATGCACTGAGAGCTGCTGTAAATCAAATTTACGACCCTGTGAAGCACACACACATCATCTTATCGTCTCTCAAAATCCGTTTTCAATTCCACTCACTCAGTCACTCGGTAACCTACTCCTTTATTCACTCATTTATCAGGAAAAAAAGACCTGCCCCACATCGGATGCAGCTTGTTTTCTGCTGGCCTTTATTTCTGTATGGATCGGCTAATTGAAAGCGTCTTTATTAATCTTTTGAAAGGCTTAAGGTTGACGTCCTTGTTTGAATTGAGTACCTATTATCAGTACTCCAAGTGCATCCCTTGCATCTACTTAGAATGTTCATTCAGTTATTTCAGGTCACTTTGAATAGAAGTTTCTGTCAAATAAATACACTGTGGTTTGATTGTTATTTTCACATATGTACTTGCTCACACAAACTGAACTGCTTTTATGTCTCAGTGTGTCATCAAAGCAGGTTTACGGAACATCAGTGAGAGCGGGATTTCTTAACACTGTTAGTTAATCTGAAGGAATAGTTAGACGTTTTAAAATCTATGCATGTTTGCAAATATGCTGTGAATATGATGCTACACCCAGCAGCTTGTTTGCATTTATTATCTTAACGACTTGAAAATCAGATTCTCAAAGAAAATGGTAATACTTTCACTTTCAAAACCACCTACGAATATAACTTGTAGTATGACTTCTAAACTTTATGCGCTGTTTCTTTTTTTCCCACAGTGTGGGGAGGGTTTCTTGGTAACTTCTCAATGACGACTTAACTATGAAGTCACAGCACCTAAACTAAAGATATAAATTAAGTTACATTTACACAAACAGAGGTGATAATTACATTTTATTCTGTTTTTTTTATCTTTACAGAAGTTTTAGTTTTCTGTTGTTGTTCTTTTTTTTGTATTTTTCTCTGTTCCATGTATGTATTATATAGAAACAGTATTTTCAGCTCAGACCAAAAGAACACCTCAGGGAAAATAATCGGGATGTCCAAGCTTGTGTTATATTGGTTATATTGTCAATAAATGAAAAAGTAAGTGGATCTGCAGTTGCCTGGACAACTTGACCCATCGCCTCCACGATCCAGAGTTTTCCTTTACCAGTTTATATCGGAACACTACCATAAAGATAGCGTGTGAAAGTCTCTCCGAGAGGCTGAGCAGAAATAAAGAAAGACCATCTCATTTCCATCAGGCACCGTGACCAGCTCTCAGCCATGGGGTGGATGTCAGTCACTCATATTACATGGATTTGCTCCTCACCCACGCATATGTGAAGGCAGAAATAACACCCAAATAGACAAACGTATAGACACACGCAGACAGACACACACTCATAAAAACACATTAATGTCCTATTATGCAGTATGCACATTCATTCAGTGGGGGATATTTCTCACACCTCATTTTGCCAGCTCTTGTAATAGCGCATTTATTTGTGCACTCCAAATACACGAAAAGGAGATTTGAATTCCTCGAGACGCAGATGGCAGAGTTGAAAAGGAGATAAGTCAAAGGAATTCACAGCAGCAAAGTTACTGGCATTGCTCAAGACTTTCTGTTTTTATACAGGGTTTCAGTACTATTTTTTTCAACAGTTGGACATAATTGAAAATTACAAAAAAATTAGAAAGAATTTGCAACGGCAAAATAACTATTTCAAGTTGCAACATTCTATGTTTTGCACGCTTAATAACTGAGTTACTTTAAAAACCTTTTCTGTATATAGATATATGACAAATAAATTATAGTTGGTTTGAATTGGACAATAGCTCTAAAGTGCCTTGATATTACATATTCAAACTGAGGATCAGCAAGGTCCTTTTTTTACTAATGTGTCAAAGCTGTGGACGTGTGCATCTCTTACGTGATGAGGCTACACTTATACACACAAACACGCGTTTAGAAACCACTTGTGTCTCAAAATCAGTTCAAGCCAAATCTCTCCTTTGAGTTGCCAAGGGTTACGAAATGCTCTATGACTAGTAATACATCATAATAATGCAGATATTGCTGTGGGGGTTTGAAGTGCTAAAGATAAAGGGCTAAAGATATTTTTACTATAGGAATGAATGACCAAAGCATTGGAACACGTTGTCCAGCACTCACATTATGCCTGTAAAAGTAGTGATGGTGATGGTGATGATTATGCTCACCCACTGCTGACACTGAGACATAACACAGGTGGCTGACAAAGTTTTGGAGTGTGCTGTATTTAGATTAGAATAAAACTGCATGAGGCCTTCGAACGTTTCCTGTGATTCCCAGGCAGCTCAGTGGAGACTTCCTCTCCAGGCAGCGGCTGCTGGAAGCATGACATTCCTAGTTTACAATTGATCCAAGGGATAAACGAACAGCACGGAGCAGATTTATATACAGAGAAAAAAGGTAAATGATGCATCTCTGTCTCACAGGCAGCGATTCAAAGTTGTGCAACATGTAATTTTCCGAATGTATGCTGCTTATTTTCAATACAAATCTGTCTGACTGGATAGTTCGGCACCACTGCACAAACACGCACATTGTTGTAATCACAGGCAGGAGGTTTCTAATTTGTAGGTGCAGCATGTAGCCTTTGTAGAGCCCGACTGTGCACAAATAGCAAGCTGAGAGTGGCTGTTGAACTTTGGAAATGTCAGTCGCTGCTCCTCACAGAGAGTACTATCATTCCATTCTTGGGTGTCCTTCCTTCTGACTTCCCTACTCATCTTAAAACTTTCCTTGTGCTGCGGGTGACCTGCTGAAAATATTTTGAAGCTGTGCCTCGCTAGTGTACAGAGGAAGCCCAAAAAAAATGTCCTTGGTTCAAACACAAGCAGTCTTTTAAAAATAACTCCGATGATGTTGCTCTGAAGACATGTGACCCGTGGTACATTCAGGGCACACAGCGTGAGAACCCCCTTGTGATAAGCAATCAAACATTTAGCTCCGATTGTCATAAAGAAGTTATTATGGAAGGTGATATTTTACAATGGATTTCGAGTTTACCTCATGCTCTAGCTCATAAATTCTGCAGAAAGCCTGCAAGCGTCTCCTTCACCCCCAGATCCATCCATGCCTTTCCTCTCGAGCTTTCCTTGTGACATGCCTCGAAGCAATTCACATCCCTTTACTCTCCCCGGTGCAAAATCATGCACCAGAAGAGTTTACAGTATGTGCTGCTTGAGAAGCCTTCCTGTTTACATGTTGCTGTATGGTTCTGTGAGGTGGCATCATGTGATTGCCGCACAACCTTTTCAGATTGCATCTTCTGTGAAACGCAGCAGTAATAACCGCATGGTACGGTGGCAATCCGATGTCTTTGTTTTGGTGTAAATAATGGGAAGGAGGGTCTGGTATGAATGGTAAAAACAGGCGTGTTGTAGCATCCTGTATAGAGCATACTATTAATTCAGTAGTGTGTTTATATTTGATTTATTTTTATTGGAGGCCCTTAGATATTTAGTGTGTCTGTATTAGATGTGAAAGGGAAGCTTTGGGAGTCGACCCTGACTTGCTGACCATCAGCTTGCTGGTTAGCTGATTGTGAGACCGCCAGCCAAACGGCCGACTGTTGTTGACTATGGATGCGCTCAACACCAAATAAAAGATGTTGTGGATTTCATTTAGTTCAACTTCATTGTCCTTGAGAAACTGTTTAAATTTTTCTCTCTTTAGGGCGAGCCCTTGCCCCTCTCTTTTGAACCGTTCGTTCACGGAGCAAAGCCCCGCCTGACTCCCCAAAGACAATTACTCCCTGTTCCACAGATCAAGTCTCAGTGAACTGCCGTTGTTGACTCCTGACCTTCCCTCAAACCCAGCAGCATCTCCAAATTAAATAATGTTATCGTCTGTCTCCTCTCGATGCCTTTTGCCATATTTCCTTTCAGGGACGCAGTCTCAAGGGGACCGTTAGGCAGCTCTTGAGTGCCCTCATGTGGCTGTGTCTATTTTACCTGCTTTTACAACAATATCTGCGTGGGTGTGTGTGCGTATGTGTGTGTTATCAACTGAATGAGCTAATGAAAACATTCCCCTATGACATCCCTACGACAAGGACAGATTGCCTCAACTGAAGTTGGACGGGAGCAGGAAATTGTAGGAAAAAAAACTGAAGACATCATAGATGATCGTACTTCCCTGTGATTATGTGAATGCGGAATCAAGAATGTGTATATGCACACGTCACCTCATGTCACCAGCAAAATCGTTAGACGCTTGTGTGTTGAAATGGCTGGATTTGACTGTGCCGCTACATTATTTTTCGGGCCCTTTCGCAAACACGTGCCTGTACCAAGGCGGCAGCGAGATCAGATATGACAGCACGGCTTCTTCTGTGTTTGCAGGAAGTGCTTTGAACCTCACGTGCCGAGCGTTCTTTGGCTACAGCGGCGACGTCAGCCCGCTTATCTACTGGATGAAGGGGGAGAAGTTCATAGAGGACCTGGATGAAGAGAGAGTCCAGGAGAGCGACATCAAGTAAGAAAACACCCTGCAGGAGCTTGGGCCTTTTCACTGAATTTAGCTGTAATGAGGAACTAATGGCAGACATACTGTAGGTGTGTTTGTCACAAAATAACAAATCACAACATCCGTGGTTTTTCAAATCTACATACTTGAGTGAAATCAATAACATTTCAAGGATTTATTCAGTAAAAAATGTCTGAATTACAAACCAAAAAGCAAATGTAGAAATGAAAGTAATGCATGAAATGTTATTATGTTGTTACAATATAAGTTGAGTGGTGAAAAAAATGTGGATTCAAACCTTCCTTGTCTTACCACTCTTCATTTTTAGTTAAGAGGCGTCTGACATTTTGTTTCCATTACAGCAAAGAAAAGCTTCTCAGCAAATCTTTCATTCTCTGGATCCTCAATATTCATTTGATGTTTGTCTCTATTTGGAGAGAGATCCTCTTCATTAGCTTCTGTAGCAATAATGCTCTTTTACAGCAGCTCTTTGGTATTAATTTACATCAGGACAAAATGCAAAAAATCCACAGATGATGCTGAACGCACTCTTAAAAGCCTCCTCCTTCCAGTTTAGCCTCACTTCAGTGTAACTTACCTCTCAGGGCTGAAAGACAGTTTAAACAACCCCGTTTCCATGTCTCTCACTCCTAGAGGTGTAACACATTTAAACAAGTCCGTTCACTGGTCCATGCGCATGTTTCCCATTAGGGCTGTTTGGAGAGGATGCAGCTCTGGAGAGACTGTCCTGTCAGATGGTTAACAACTGCCATTTTTCACACCGCCTGTACATCACTATCTCACTCACTGCACCCACCTATAGCAGCATGCAGATGAGCCATAAGGAGCTCAAGAGGAGGAGGAAGAGGAGGAAAGCAGTGAGGGGAGGCAAGAGACGGAAAAGAGAAAGGGGAAAAAATGGGGAAAGAGAAAATACACAAGTTGTATGTCACCAAAAAGTGAAGTAACGCATCTATAGTATTCAGTGATCCTGTGCACTGATGGAAACAAGCACTAGAAGCACAGTTCTCAGTTTAACCAGCCTCCGTGTTTCTTTTCTCTTCTATACATCCCTGACAACAGGATTCCCCTCGCTCAAGGACTGAGGGGTTATCTGTTAAATAATTCATACCATATTCCATGCAGCAGATCAATAATATATTCGATCATCCACCCTCTGTTGCTGCTGCTACCCCGGGCTTCCTCAGATCCTGCTCTGGTTGTGCTTCCACAAACGAAGCTGGAGGTTCAGCTCAGCTAAAGAAGTTGGAACAGTGGGAAGAATGGACAGGATGAACCAAACATCAACTAATCTCAGCTTTTCACCAAAAAAATGTCATGATTTAAGATAACGCACACATGCTACATCTGGAGCTGTCTCTTTACAAACGGCTCGCATCCATGCATTTGGAAATGTACCGTTAATGTATCAGCGGCCAGCTCCGATTTCTGCAAGCATTTATTTCTCCAATTCAGAGCTTATTGATTAGGAGGAGTTCATTTTTATGGAAAGCCAAGCACATAAATTCTCATTTGCGCCACAGGGACCAGGCGGCCTCTTTTTGCGTTGCATGGTTGACTGGACATTAGTATTGCATGCAGAGATTAATAAATTAGCAAAAGCAAATCTGAATCAGCATAATGAAGGAGGGAATCGATATTTAATTGACCCAGTTTAAATGGCGTTTTGCAGGTGTACATTTAGGTGAGTATACAAAAAAAAATGAGTAAGATGGTAATTGATTTAAATGGGCAAACAGAGGTTTTGCTAATGAAGAAGGGGGCAAGTATTTATAGAAAAAAATGCTTTCAGAAGCCATGTATTGACAATGGGTTTGTGATTTACTCATTCCACCGAGGCTATATCAATAAACCAAACCATGCAATACAAAGTCTGCAGAATTTTATCCAAAAAGAGCATGCAGTTTCTGTACTGCATGTGATAAACTTCAAACACACTTTTTAGCCAAGCTGTCATTTAACTCTCACCTGTGTATCTTTCCCAAACTTTGGCCAATAGCATCTCCATTTAAGGTTCAGGTGGTCGTCATCCGGCAAGTTCTGTGAGAGTGAGCTCTGTTGGCTCGCGTAGAGTGATTATGTGAAATGGGAGGCTTCAAAGTGCCCACCACTCCCTGGAGAGACATAAATTATTCCCAAGCCTTCATCTCCCTGGTGCCCCAACCCCCATCCCACTGCACAACAACTTCAATATCATCAGCATTGCCTCAGACTCAGACTCACAGCCCATGATACACTTTCAATTACGGATGCCAAATCTCCCCAACAAGCTCTCCTTATGTGCACTTTATCGGCTTGAAGGCGAGAGGAGTGAGATGCTTGAGAGTCATTATACCCCCACACACTCAAACGCACATGCAAACACTCTTTCCTCATCCCACCCGCGCTTCTCAACGCAGAAAATGATTCATAATTGTGCTCAAGGAAGCACACACACATACACAAACAGTGGACACGTTTTGTTTAGTTTTTTCTCATTCGGGCTTTGTTTTTCTCTTTTTGGTGTCTTTTGTGTTGAGGGTGCTGTAAAAGTAGGCTAAATAGTGTGTCTACGGTATGAGGGAGCATTATCTCCCTATTCTGTTCTCCATCAGAGTCAACCAGCCCAGCGGGGGACACTCATTTACTTTATGGAATATTACTTTCTCTCCTTCTTGCCGTTACCATGGCAGCTGCTATAAAAAGAATTTCTAATCATCGCCATTATTTGATCCCCCCCCCCCCCCCCCGCCCCAAGCTGAGGAAGATCCCTTATTGATTTTCATTCCTCATATGTTTTGAGTGCCGAGAAAGAAATTAACATACTGTGAAGTACTTAACGTTAACACAAAAGGAGCTTCATAAAGATACATTTGCGCTATAGACGCGTATTGTTTTCAGACGTACAGTGAATCAATGAACTGCTGTGATTCGTAACACATCTGTGCAGCTATTCTGAATGGTATATTTTGATCACGGCTCCATGATACCTCTCTAGCTATCATGTCGATGTTCACCGGTTATGTTAAACTGTGCACAAAGACAACGCATGCATGAGTTTTTCGCTGATTTGCTTGTTTTCTAGGGTTGTCAAGCAGCATCTTGGTGAGCAAGAAGTGGCCATTTCGTTGACTATTGACTCTTTGGAGGAGGATGACTTGGGAAATTATTCCTGTTATGTGGAAAATGGTAATGGCCGTCGACAAGCCACCGTCCAGCTTTTCAGGCGGGGTAAGGACTCCCGGAACCCTACTTAACATTTTTTGTATTTGATCTCCACAAAAGTGACTTTGCGCTCTGAGGAGCCATCTTTTGCTTCACTGTCTGGCAGCATCAGATACTGCCGCTTCCGCCCGCTCCAGCTCTCTCAAAGCTAAATGATAAAATAATCAAAGCCCGGCCGCATCATTTCACAACATGAAAATATTTGATTCCATGCACATTTGCCCATGCTTTGGGACTTCATTTGCTTGTGTCACATCTTACACAAGCAGTCGTCTAGTTATATTGGCTCCCTTGCATGACTTGTCTGAAGCTCTTTTCATGCACTGGCTGTCACCCAGAAGAGAGGTAATTTGATGGCTGTTTAAACAGCAAATTGGTCCTCAGCTTTCCCCAAAAGGCCAATACATCCAGCATACAATTATGTTTTAAGCCTTCATATGTCTGTTTCCTCACTTTAATCTCTGACTCTGTGATCGTCCTTTGTAGACAGCCCAATTCCATTTGAGTGGTCTTCACGGATTGCAGACAGCTTCATTTAACTCTCTTTGTCAAAGGAAAGGGATGCTAAGTCAAGCTCTCTTTCCCTCTGTCATCCACATCAGATGTTTATTTCATGTCCCCTTTCAAAGAGGCTTCACTCATGAGCCCCCAGCAGGTCTAATGTCACTGCAGGCTGTCTTCCCTTATATCCATAAAGAAATGAGGAAATAAGAGGGTGAGCAGCGGTCAGTGAAATAGGAATATCTGAAAGAGAGACTAATAATGCTGATAGTAAGCTTGAAGCATTAAAGCTGTGGTTATGACCAATAAATACTCACATAGAGATGAAAAAAATGACAGAACTTTTTTCTTCCATCACACAGTATTGGCTCTCCTTTATGGAAAACAAATGTAAAGGATAATGAGCCAACTAAACATTGACCCATCACAACTTAAGGGAGTATTTTTATATTTAACAGCAATGTTACTTGCATACAGTGGCGTTTAGGATGATTGATAATGCTCTTGTTCCCTTGTAGTGCTGTGCATGTGACTCAAAAGCAAGTTTAAATAGCTTTTTACTACAAAAGCCATTAAGCTTGAAGTTGACATTACCTCATGATTTTTTTTCAGAAGAAAAAGCTGCAATGATAGGTGAGCAAAGTTTAGACTGGACCCAGTAGTAACCAGGAGAATTAAATTAATTTGTCCAGAACTGGCATCTTTCTGATGTCAAATGAAATGAAAGAACACCGAAACATCAGTGTCCAAAGTGACACGGTCGTCTGCTAGTTTGGAATTAATTTTTATAAGAAGTGGGAGGGCTGGAGAGCATTAAAATGTTGAAGGGGATTCAGAAACATGACTGCCCATGAAAAATAAAACATTCGTAACTTTTTTCCCCTTCCCTTCCTGCAGAATTGAAGGGGAGGAGAAAATCACTCTTTCTTAGCCTTGGCAGAGCAGTGTAATGCACATAACCCACTAATAGAGTCGCATTAATGGGAGGGCTAGTGTACACTGGTGCCTAACAAGACAAGCTGACAAAGTCAGACGTTGTAAGCAGTTTTTTTTTCTTTTGTACTTCGTCCTCATTCCATTACAGCAGCGGTCGATGGCCCATTCACTGTCTATTTTTACTGTATGCTGCTAATATCAGAGATTGAGACGGTGTCAGTGTAGCAAATGTGGCTTTAGTTATAGGAAAACGTGCCACCATATTGATCAGGTGCAGTTTGACTTCTGCTTTCATCAGCACATTGCAGCATGGCACCTCGCCTCCACAGCTACAGATAGTTTCCACGTTTCTCACCGCAATGTGCAGCATTGTGCGACAGAAAACAATACAAAAAATTTTAAAAAACAAAACACTAGAGTATCTGATCTCTAGTCATGGGCTTCTTGCACATGATCATACATGTGTTTTCTGACAAACAATGTATATATCCATGTTTCTGGAAATTAAATAGTATTATTACTCTGGTGGCTGGATTGGTTCGATGAAAGGCAAACAATTAAGAGTTTGCTTAAGCCAACGTCCTGACATTTGCTTCACTACACGCTTGGATTCCATTCATTACTTGCTTCCTCTGTCATTGTTAAGATAAATTTAGTATTGTGGGTGTTTTTGACAGTAATATCCATCTGTTCATCTTACGCTGACTCAGAATATTATATAACCTAAAAACAGTTCCTTTACCGTTGACCTCAGTATAGCTTAAATAGAATATGCGTGTGTGTATATATACTCAAGTGCAGATAAATAGCTGTTTTGAAAAAGTATCATTTCGAAATTTCTTTTAAATACGTCACAAATATTTCCATTTTGTAAAAATGTGCCTTTGCTCCGTCCTGGATAAGATGAGAAAGCATTCTGGTTGCCATGACAGCCATGTAAGGGCCCTTGCTGTGACAGAGACAGAAGGCGAGCCTGCTCTAGCAGAGCCAGCCAGGTAAACGCTGCTTTAACACGCGCCATAAGTCATCCTTCCCCGAGCCATATCTTCAAGGAGATGGGAAGATGATAAGAGAAATTAATGGAGAAGGGAGGAAGTGAGAGTGTTCACGGCGGTTATGATGGAGAGGCAAATGACAGCGGATGAGTAAACTAAAGCCCCCTGTTTTGAAAATGCTGTCATCCATGTCCAGAATTGTCACAGTCCCAACTATGGATGACAGCCAGAGACCAGAGCTGTGTCATTGCTGTGTTGCACCAAAGAAATGAGCCCAATTTCTCACTGTTGTTTTTGTTTTTTTTCTTGTGTCTTACTGGAATGTGCTCTCATTTTTCTTAAACTCATTATAAGCCTTGTGTCTCTTAAGATTGATTCTGCTCAGCTCTGCGATGAGCGCTGAAAATCCTGAAAGCTGTCCAGTCCCCCATGTAAAAGTATGTTCTCTTAGCCTCATGTTTTCTTGCCTCGTTTTGACAGGGGAATGTTGAACGGTAAGAAATGATTTTGAGTCCAACCTGATGCAGAACCAATGGGGTTTGAGCTATGATTGTCTCAGCAGTTTTCATTGTTTAGATTTTGTTTTTTCCTGTGTGTGTTGTCCTCAGCAGAGCTCATGTACACGGTGGAGCTGGCAGGAGGGCTGGGAGCCATCCTGCTGCTTCTCATCTTTCTCATCTCCCTCTACAAATGCCACAAGATTGAACTGATGCTTTTCTATAGGAGGCACTTTGGAAGCGAGGATGTGGATGGAGGTAACTTTTTTTTTTTTTTTTTAATCATCCCAGTGTCACTGCCTGGAGCTTTTTAACCTCCCCAATATTCCCACCTTTTTTTTTTCACCAGGTACCTCTTATCCAAAAGTCAATGTCAAGCAAACATAGATGGACGAACGTGTGCGTTTGTGGGTTTGTTCTCGTGTGTGTGAATTTGGTTGCTTGGTTTTGTGCTCCATTTGGAACAGACTCTTGAGCAGATATAAATGTCTGTCCCACTCGTGTCTAAATGTCAGGGGACCATTTCCTCTCCCCCTCTTCTGTGCATGTGATTGTGTCTGTTCAGTGCATTGCTGCCATGACTGGACCGGGGAGATGGGAGAAGGATTTTCAATTTGTTACCCATTTAAAAAGAGATCAGTCTCAATATGTCAAGGAATGGTGCTTACCCTATGCTGACGAAGGCCTGGTAGTGGTGCACAGGGAATGAATGAGCACAAAACACCATTCCTGAGTGGCAAATGGGAGCAATACCAACCTGAAATTGTAGGGCAGCCTCTTGTCTTCTCAATAAAACATAGTTAACTTTTCACAAAGTTTTGTAGCTTTCTGTTTATGTATCAGAGTCTTCTCCTTGTTCTTTGTATTTAGTCTTTCACTGCTTTTTTTTCAAATATTCTTGAAACCCTGAACTCACTAGATTGTTTCTCCAGTAGAATGAATTATCTATTACGCACAGTTTTGTTGACTCAAACTTGCACATGATTAAGTCATACTGTCAGGGGCCGCTGATACTAGCTGTTTTCTTTTTTTTCCGGCTTTGCTTGTCTGTTAATTTGCAAGGTTGGTTGCTAATTTGAAAGCAGCTTTTGATGTTTGAATCCAATGGAACAGAGCACAGGCCTTCCCAGCAAGTTTTGTGCTCCTCAAAGAGTTTATGCAACCAAAAAAAACCTTCTTCCCCCTTTCGGCTGGCCCACATTCCAGAATAATGACTAGGACTCCCTGAACATGTCACCAGTAGGGTTTCTTTTTTCTATTTTCTGTCTCTGCCTTGTCAGTTCAACTCACTGTCTGCTGGGAAATCATTTTGAGGTGGGGAAGAGGGTATTTCTTATGTCTTGATTTATGTATGTTTTTATCTAACCCACTTTTATTTCAGATACCAAACGGCCATCTTGTGTGCACTTTATCTCAGAGAAGCCATGATGTTGCAACTTAATAAGCAAAGCACAGACATATTTAGAGATTTTGGAAATGACTACTGATTTAAAAAACAACTACAAGCAAAAACAGATAGATTTCTGAAGTTTGTGTGGAGGAACTTTAGTGGGCTCATCGACACTTTTGGGATGGCAGACTGCAGGTCAAATCTTATTACTGAACATCAGTCCCACGTTCAATAAGACTGGTGTGGTTGAGCGGAAAGCCCCAGGAGTCGGGCACACAAAAATCCTATTTAAAAATGTGCTTGTGGAGGACAAAATACTTATATTTTCAGAAGCTGTGGTGGATACAGAATAGATTAAAGCAGCATTGTGTCTTTCGTGAATGTCTGCCTTATAATCACACATTTGAACACAAAAATCCCCAATTTCCAAACACTGCCCACTAAAAAAAACTACCATTTACTCACTTCAAGAGACAACCTTGTAAACTTGGACAACAGAAATTGGTTGCATATCATTTCCAACAAGCTGTAACATGCTGTAATTATGAAGACCTGGTTTGACCTATCTTTTTTTTCTTACTGTAAGCATTTTTTTCTTTTTAAATATAGCGCTCATACCAGTGAAACTAAATTAGCCCATCCGAAGTTATACCAAATTATTACCTTGCTAAGCAATGAATGGGCATGAAATTGGTCTAAAATGAATGTTTTCGTGACTTTATTTTTTGGAGGAATGCATATAAACTGATGAATATTTTTGCTAATCTAATGCACCATTACTTTAGGAAGCTTTAAAAAATTTCATTTTTTGCCATGACTGAGTGGAAAAGATGAGCTTCTTGTCCCTCTTGTGATGTTTTTTTTTTTTTCCGTTGCACTTTTTAAGGACTGCACAGAAAAATGGAAAGTTCTCTAAGCAGAGTTGCAACAATGGAATTAGCCAACCTGCTGAGACTAGCAAAATTCAAATCACTCCATAGACGACAGAACCATGTATTATGCACCCAGCATTTTCATAGCAGGGCACCGCTTCTCCCTTTTCCTCACATTTTATAGGAAATCTATCTTTCTGTATCCTAATTTGTCTTGATTTTGACATAGAAAGTTGGGTTTTAGATGTCTGAGAATGCTTTGTCTGCACCACCCATATTGTTTTGACACCCTTCAACATGATTTCTTGTGTGTGTTCCTCTAAGGAATATTTACTCTCTGACATCCACATTTTAGTTCACTTGAATATTTTTTTTCACAGAGAAAAATGGAAACAACCCTTAAAATAAGAATAAATGTAAAGACAAAAGAGATTGTTTTTTAATGAGCAGGAGGAAAAAGAGGGGGCATTATTTCCAGCCTGAGGGAGGAAATGGAGGTATTCCACCATAGTTTGCTGATTAAGAAAGCTGACTCTGTGATGGAGACAGCTGAGGAGTCACCAGGACTAGCTGTTGAAGGAAGAATTTTATCAAACAAAACTCCTCAACATATTAAAACATACCAACCCTACATTATATAGTGACCAAACCAGGGAGAGTGTTTTGGCAGAGGTTACATCATGTTAGATCTATAGCAATAATACACTTTTCAATCTGGATTGATTTCAATTTAACAATTAATCGCAAACAAAATTGATTCATTCAACTCGTCACACCTTCCTGCCTTCAGGCGAAGATCTCATTTGTTTCAAGCTCATTGTAAGAAGGTTTACTGAAAGGCTACAATACATCAATTCTGTTGGCAAACGCAAAGTTTTTAATGAGTCTCATTAATGTTCTTCTCCAAGATAAAGCTGCAAGTTGGATATGTGCGCGTTTGGTCCACAGTTTTCAAGAGCCAGCCTTTGTCTTTCCTTTCTCTCTTTCAGAAAACAAGGATTACGATGCTTACCTATCCTACACCAAAGTGGACCCTGACCAGTGGAGTCAGGAGACAAGGGAGGAGGAACGCTTCGCCCTGGAGATCCTCCCTGATGTCCTGGAGAAGCATTATGGCTACAAACTCTTCATCCCGGACCGAGACCTCATTCCTACAGGAAGTAAGCTCAGTGACTGGGTTTGTGCGCATGTATGTGTGATATCGAAACGATATTTATGGACGTGTGCAGCATTTTTTTGCTTCGACACACACAGCATGTGTGTGTGTGAGTACGTACACACATATATATGTACTCAAATATGTGTGCGTGTTTGTGTGTGGCAGAAGTGTTCGGCACATAGCGCACATTTTGTCAGTTTTAAATGTTCGTTTTGTGTTTGTCCTCAGTGTTGTTTACTGTCAGTGTCTTGTGTTAGTTGTGCTCTATAAAAGAAATCAATATGTGGATATTTACACCCTCAGGTTAATGGATACATTTATCGTTGACTGTTTAAGAAAGATTAAAAAACTAAACTGAAAGTCTAAAGCCGTCAACAAGAAGCTTTTTCACTTAAATTCCCTCAAAAACTATTTTGATAGAGGAAAAAGAAGAGGGCAGCTTTATTTACTGATTATTCTTACATTGGGTGCTGAAGACGAGGGAAAAAACTGTATACAATGTGTACTGGGAGCTGATGTATTGAGCAAATTTATCGTCCTTTCTGGTTTTCATCCATGTATTAATACATCCATGGAAATTCTGTCTGAACATATCCTCATGTGTGCTAACTCGCTCCTGCTTAGCAGTCCGTCTGTGCCAGTGGTACACAGTGTGCTCTACTTTGTAGCGATGCTGTGTGTTTGTACTGTGGGCTTCATGTGGAACAGATAAAACGCAAACACGTCCTAGTTGGTCCAGACAGAATTAAACATCAGTGGGAAATGTGTGAAGGCTCCGAGCCCCACTGACTGAGCCGCCTCTATCCTTTAATCAAAAGAAAATTGCCGGCAGCATCAGTGCCAAGCGGAATCATTGCAGATGAATGTCCAATCAGGGAAACATGGTATGTGATTAATTATATGTGAAATAAAAAGATGAGTGAGAGGAAGCGCGTATACTTTTACAACAGTGTTTTGTGCAGTTATGTTTCTGTGTCTGTAATGTGTACTACCTGTGACCTGAATGTTAAAATGTTTATGTTTAGGTCTCACCAATGAGCATTTCCAGGAGAACACACGACTTTTTAGAGGTACTCACCCTCAGTCTTGTCCTTTTGCATTTAGCTTCTTTCATTTACCTGCTGATAGGACGTTGCAGCATAACGGGTTATCAATCACTAATTCCCAGTTAGAGCCTTGTAGATCTGCTCATCTAAAACTTACATGTTCTATGCTGAGGAACAAAGGATATATATCTGCTTACATATAAAATTAACTGAAAGATTAAAAGGTTCTGACTGCTATGTGTTAGTTAAAGTTTTTTCTCAACAGTCCATGCATAACAATCCACAATGACAAAACCAGATTTGTTTTTTGGTGTTGTTTTGTTTCATCGTAGACAAAGATGATTCACTGATGGGACTATTCAAATCTGTAGTCATGACACTGGCAAATCAATGATCGCGAGGATGCTTTTCTATTTTAATTGGAGTCTGTCTGGGTGAAATCAAATGTGCCGCATATAATTGCCCACATGTTTTAAACAAGATTTTACCCTAGGTGAAAACTAAGCTTTGAGTTGGAAAGACCTGTCTGCAGACTTGAAGCTAGAATTATGTCTGGGCATAGGGAAGAATAAAAGCTTTTAAAGTTTCTGTAAGCACAGCAGTCTCTTGTATATGCTGGAGAAAGTGCACTTACATAAACCAGCTCTAAAATTAAGTTTAGGTGTCTGGTGCCTAAATTAAGTGTGAGTAATGTTTTTTTCTTTTTTAAATTAGACACTTTCAGCATAAAGCCTGGTAGTTACCCTAACTATGGTTGTTCTGGTTGTTATTTCCCCAAAGAAATTTTTAAAATGCAAAGAATCATTTCCTGTCCTTTTTTGCTAAGAGTAGATGTGGAAGGGTTATGATCAAATTGAATAACAAACAATGTAAGAAACTTTTTTTGTGAAAATAAGATAGTTCTGTAATCCATAAATGTATCTTTATCTGCTAAATGGAACTCTTTTTCACTAAATGGTGCATGACATCCCTCTGAGAATTTGTCAAAAAGAAAATGAATGGCTCAAAAAGCACCAGAAGCAGAACCATCTGCTCTGATTTAACCAGTAGTTGCCCATTTAGCCATAATATCTCAGAACACATTACCAATGGCTCTAATATAGAAAATACAGATAGGCCATGGATGGATGTTATGGAAACCAAGCACTTACATTTACTTAATCAACACCATGTACAGTCAAACATGATGGTGGCAGAATAATTATAATGGCCTTTTTTGGGTAGACTAGATCAAGGCAGAGTTTGATCCTACAGTGAAAAAATCCTTTCCTCTCAAAAAGACAGTCAGCTTCTAATGTTGCCAATAGTTTTTATTTTAACAAATTCACAAAAAAAAAAAGAAAAAAAGAGTTTTTGTTTTTGTCTTTGTGCATAAGTGTGTGTAGACTGATTGTGAGAAAAAAAAGGATCTTTTTGAAAATTAGTTGGGAACATAGCTCTACTATCTCCTTGACCTCTTGTTAAAGAAAAACGTCAAACTGAAATGACCGACATTGGTCCAAATAATAGAGCCGACGTTAAAAGAGTCACCTGTCATCGTCTTGTGTTTTGTATTTGATGCTGTCTGTTCATCCATCACTAAGTATTGTGGTTCTTTCCTCATCTAATTATGTGAAATGTACACCGCTGGCACCGTTCGTCCTCTAAACGTTTATCCTTATCTCTCCGCGCTTCTTGTTCACTGCAGCCTACATAGAGGACGTGGCGCGCTGCGTTGACCAGAGCAAACGCCTCATTATAGTCATGACGCCCACTTACGTAGTCCGGCGAGGTTGGAGCATCTTTGAGCTGGAGACGAGGCTGCGCAACATGCTGGTGACCGGCGAGATCAAAGTCATCCTGATCGAGTGCGCCGAGTTGCGGGGCATCATGAACTACCAGGAGGTGGAGGCCCTCAAGCACACCATCAAAACCCTCACCGTCATCAAGTGGCGCGGCCCCAAGAGCAACAAGCTCAACTCCAAATTCTGGAAGCAGCTGCAGTACGAGATGCCCTTCCGGCGCACGGAGCCCATGCTCTCGCACGAGCCGGCGCTGGACGTGAGCGAGCAGGGCCCCTTCGGCGAGCTGCAGACCGTCTCGGCCATCTCCATGGCGGCGGCCACCTCCACCGCCATGGCCACCGCCCACCCGGAGCTGCGCTCCTCCTTCCACAACACCTACCACACCACCATGAGGCAGAAACACTACTACCGCAGCTACGAGTACGACATACCCCCCGGCGGGACCCTGCCCCCCCTCTCGTCCCTGGGGAACCAGCACACCTACTGCAACATCCCACTGACTCTGCTGAACGGCCAGAGGCCTCCCGGGAAGAGCCGAGAGCACAGCCTGGAAGAGACGCACGCCAACAACGCCATGCTCCCGCTGCTGCCCAGAGAAACCAGCATCTCCAGCGTCATCTGGTAGTGAACCGTCAAGGCGAGCTTTAGGGAACATCGGCCGGAGTCGTGACGCGGGCGCTCGTCTCAGTCCGGTAGCTCTTAGGGAAGACAGATGGAGGTTGCGCTTGTTGCTGGGAGTGTTTTGGATCCGTTCGGCCGCGGCCGTCCATGACTCGCTGCGAGCGATGGAGAAGCGGGAGGCTTGGAGGACACCGTTTCCTTTCTCTTTCAAAGGGGACATCATTTAAAAAAACAAAACACTGTTCTATCCACTAACGAGAAACGGACTCACAGGAACTCCGCGACAAGGAGAAAAAACACACGATGGCAATTGTGCACACACATGCATACACCCACACGGAAAAATGTGCATACATAGAAACAAAAGGAAAACAGGGTCTGTACATATATTTCGATTTCTTTGTAGCATCAGTGTTTTCCTGTTTTATTCTTTTTCTGTTTTTACTGAGTCTGTTGCCTTCTCTACTGTAGGACTTTGCTTTAACTGTACATTTTTCATTGTTTATCCCTCTTCGTTTTGGTTCGGCTCTTACTTTAACATGCTTGGCTGGAAAGCCAGTATCTCATGAACCTGCGCCGTTGTGTTTGTTTGTTTTGAAAACTTTGTGTAGTTATAGAGAACTTTCTTTTCTTTTTTTTAGAAAAAAAAAAAACTTTGGAATGGCCTGGACATTTCTGGAGCTTTGAAAAGCTGAAACTCTTTTTATTTCATCATCTTTTTTTAAACCTGTAAAAGGTGTATCTAGTTTAAAATGAAACTCTGTTTTTAAAAAAGAAAATCATAGAATATGCAAAAAGAAGGAAGAACTGGCAAAAACACACCCATCCGTGGGACTGAGATGGAGGAGCGAATGGGGAGCGGTTCTCGTCCCCTTCAATCAGACATACCGAAAGACTGGCAGATCTCTCTCTCTGAAGCTTCATTTTTTTCTATTGAAACCAACAGCCTCGCTGTTTTAGAGTGATAGTGAAATGCCTCACCTTAAAAAGAAATCTGTAGATTATTTTAAAAAGAATTCTATTTTTATAACAGAAAAGAGTTTGCTTGAGAGATCATACTTATTTGCATTTCATCTTCCACAGAAAGAGGATTTGTGTATAAGTGATATTGCTGGTTTGGTACACTTGCTAAATGGTTCCTGGTTTGGTAAGAGATGAAGGTGGCTTGTGCATCCCACTTAACAAAAGATGTCCTCCACTGTTACAGATTCAACAGCAAAACATGTCCGATGTTTTGATTTCTAAAGCATAATACTATTCACATGATAATTCATTTGGTTCATAAGGATAGTTCATGTTTAAGGAAAGAAAAGAAAACATTTGTGTTTTTGAAAGACTTTTTAAATATATTTGAAGGTGTGATTTTTGAGTATGCATAGCAAATAGATATGTATTCTATATATAATATAGATATTTATATAAATATATAAACACAATTTTCACTTGGAAAGAAATGTCTATCTTTATAGGAACACAATCATTATCAGTTGCCCTTACTTTCTCACTGCACATTAAAAACATTGATTTCCTTTAGATTGTTTTCCTTTTGCGACCACTTGTTCACACTGATGATGACACTCCTGATCACACTACAATTAAAGGTTGTTTAGCACCCTTTATTATTCCTTTAGGAACAGTTTTTCTTCACTGGGTGGAAAAACACTGAATAAATATGCCTCATAATTATTGGAAACTCTAAACGCCTTTAAACATGCAGACAAATACGGGCCCCTGAGCATCCATAATGTGTATATGGTGGACAACACCACAATGTGACGAAACCCCCTGATAAACCAAGTCATGGCCTTGTTTTTTTACCCTTTTTTCCACATCTGACCTCAAAGAAGACGTTTAGAAGATGGCTTTCCCAACTACAGGTCATGTTTAAATGGAAGAGGATAGCAATGGATCAATGGAGTGCTATTTGGTATTTGTGTTGTACCAAACTTTTCTTTTCTTTTCATGATGCCAGTCACACCACGCTGTGTTAGCAAACTTTATCTGCAGTAGCAAAATGTTTATGTTATGTTTATGTTTATGCATTTGGCAGACGCTTTTATCCAAAGCGACTTACAGAGTAGACATAATATTACATTTATCATCACTATGACAATAAGCTATATAGAGGAGAAACCCTGATCAGAGTCAGTGGTGACAGCAAGATATAGAGGTAGAGGGGACCACAGAAGGAGTTGTGGGGGGGATAGAGGTACGGGTTAGGATTAGGAGATGCTCTTTGAAGAGGTGGGTCTTCAAGAGTTTCTTGAAGACAGACAGTCTAGCCAATCTAGACTTTTACACGCAACTTTGTTTGCTACAGAAATTTGAGGCTCGAATTTTAAAATGACAGGCGCCATTTTTTGCTGTTCTTGTCACGCTTGGTAGGTCGTTCCACCATCTTGGAACGACACATGTAAACAGTCTGGATTGTCTTAAGCGTGGTGAAGGCACTGCTAGACCACAATCCATTGTCAGACAGCTTGCACAGGAGAAAGGCAGTAGTAGTTTTCACAGCAGATGTTTTGGCAGGAAAAAAACAGGTAAAATCCAAATACTACAGCTTATTGAACTGTTTAAAGGACTCTTGATTTGTGCATCCTGTGAATGTTCTTTGTTTTGGCGGTTATTTCTATTATTAAGGGTCTGTTGATATGATGGTAATCAAAAATGCACTGATGTGCACAGACAGATTACAAAAAAAAAAAAATTACCAGGCACAGAACACACACCTCAAGAAGACATGGCCCCTATTGTTCTCCCAAACTATCATTTATATCTCACAAAGTGATATATATCCACTTCAGTAGGTTTCTGACTTAACTAACAACCAATATGATTACCAATGAGACACAAACACTAGGTTTCATTTCCTTTGTCAAAAACTGTTGGAAAGTATTTTAACAGACATAAAATCACAGCGAAGACAAGTAAAAATAGTTAAAACTAAAACTCACAGAACTGGAATGACATAAACTGTTGTACCAAACAACCAAAAATATCTAATTATTAAAGTAAGTCACAAAGTGTGAACCGTGAAAACTTCCAAAATTAGCAAAAGAAACACTTAAAGTGATAAATCTTTCAAAGATTCCAAGATTAGTTTCTCAAAACTTAAATCAAAATAAAAAAAACAGTAAGGATTTTTTAAATTAGTTTTATAATGTCCAGAAAACTTTAAGACAACAGAAAAGATTTGAAAAATTACAGGAAAGGGACTAATATGTGAAGGATAAAAATGAGTCACCAAAACAATAAGAGAAACATGAGAAACGACAGTGATATGCAAGATGTAAAATTATAATGTCAAAGAGATCCAGAAATTTTGAAACATATAGTATCCTCTTTCTTTATGTCTCTTTTCATTTGTCCGGCTTGCTTTGAGGTTGGATAAATGCTCTGTCAGCATAACCAGATGCCTATGATTTCTCAGTTTACAAGAACCACTAGCATAATCATTTTTTCCAATGTGGAAAATTGGCTGGGGGAATTTTTTTGTGTGCTACACACCTTTATTCCCCCCCAGGTTCCCTGTCCATTTCAAACATTCCGCCTTTAGATACGGAGAGTTTCTTTTAATCTTTGATGTTTGCTTGGCAGAATGCAACTTGGGTGGGTAAGTGCTGCCAAACACTGCCATCTCCTGGAGATCAGCACCACCTACAGCAAAAGTTTGTGCTGCAACACCAGCAAACACTGACACAATGAGTTTTACTGATGTCTGCCAACCCCAGGAGAAAACCGAGAAAACAAAAAAACTAGGGTAGCAAAAGAAACAATGGGGCAGACTAAGAGATAGCACCATCCATCTTCAAGCCAGACTGTTTAAGAAAGGGGGGCTCGGGAGCTCAGATGGTGTTGGATTATGCAAACACGAAAAAAAAGATTAATGATCGCAACAGCGTGACTGAGGAAAAATAAAGTTTCCAACAAAAGAGTACAATAACAAATGCAAAACATGGGCGACATGTTGTCATCCAGAAGAAAAATTGGTCGCCGTTGCCCGCGCCGTTCCCTGCCAGACATCTGGAATTTTTATCAGCAGCCACTGGAATAATGGACTTTTTATAACCCAGAGCTATTAAGGGCTTAATTGGAGAGAAAATATGCCCCATTGAGACGCACCAAGCATAAGCCGTGGACAGGAATAAGAATGTAATCAGAGCTAAGTCCACGGTGGGGTTTGTGCAAGTGTGTGTGTGTGTGTGTGTGTGTGTGTGTGGTGTGTGTGTGCGTGTGCGCGCGTGCTTGTGCATTGCTGTGCGTTTCTGAACTATTCATCTGATCCGCTGCAATACCTGGTCAGACCAGCAGGGGGCACGCGAGAGTCATCAGTGAAGGCCTTACATCGGCCTCATTCTGCTGTGATTCACTTATGCCTGAAGGCAACATTCTGAGGGACATTTGGAAACCTGATTGCTCGTGCAAACATCTGTATAGAGAATGTTTTTATACAACACAAGACCGCGGCATTACTATAGAAGTCAGGCTTGATTTATTTGATTAGAATCTGTCACAGACTCACATGGCATAGGTGCATGGCAAGAATGGCTGGAGTCTATTTTCAAAGATTTCTCACAGTCAGGTCTGTTGTAAAATAGCCATCAGGTGCAGAAATGTTGCAATTAAACTTAAACTCAAAGAGCAGCTGATTAGGGTTACCGTCTGTGGGCCGTCCCTCTTTGCTTTGAGACTTTTCGATCCAAATGCTTCATCTTGTTCCGCACTTCCCCTCTCCTCTATCGCTGCTGTTATGCTGTGGTCGATGCCACACTTCCCCAGTGTCAGGCTCTCCCCTGATTTGAGAGGTCATTTCATAGTCTGGTGGCTTTCTGACCGACAAACGAAGGCGTTACTTTTGCCACCATCACCCTGTGTCAATTTGCTGTTGTGACGCATAGAAACTCTAAACTTCCCGAAATCCGTCTATGATTATGGTCACACCTAACTCTTCAGCTTCCTTGTTGTTCAAATCATCTGGTCAGTCTATTTGGCTAACATTAAAAAAACATATCACCCACGACATAAGACGATGTTTTAGAGGAAACTTCTTGGCTAAATATCTGATTACGAGAAAACAAAAAGAGTAACAACTAATAAAGGATTAGTTCTTCTTTCGTTGGGACAAGATTGCAAATAACAGATAGGGGGTGAAGGAAGCTGACTCATCAAGAACATCTATCTATCTATGTTCATTTTAAACTGAAAAGGCTTGCTAGGGAGAATGACAACAGGCACTCCAGTTTGACAGTAGATCCAGACCTTTTTACCTTCAAATATACCTTTGTTGACTCTTTTATCAAGGTCATATTAGTGCAGATATTGCACAGGTGAGCAGTGCATCACTGTGCCAGAGTTATTGGATTTTCATGTTTTCTTGGTTTTCCAGGCCTAAAGTTGACTTCCCAGACCTTGAGGTGTAACTGCTATTGATTGTTTGGAATATCAGGTAGATAATGAGCAATCTTACAATACCTGTCACATTATGGACATTGGTCATTTTTATTTTCAGAGTGCCCAGCAGCTCCTCAGAGGAACCCGTGTGTGCCTGTCAGAGGGACAAAGCTTTCTTCACACGCTCATTTGCACAGAATTAATTCCCGTCTTTAAACTGGACAAAAAAAATAATGATTCAGGAATGAAACACTAGAATTTGGGGAACAAAAGTATTTTTTTAAGGTAATCTGCACTCAGTAATATTAAAAAATATTCACGTATTTACCAAATATGGACCACTTTTCTCCATGTTTATATACCCCATCATGACTGTAACACGCAAACACATGTATTAAGTGTCATTCCCCTACTCTTATAGGTTTGCAGTCCTTTTTAATGCTTCTGTGTTTGTACTTTAACTTCCATTTAGTTTAAAATGCCGGACACTAACTTGTTAAGAGTATTGCTTGATGGTGTCATCCTACTTTTTACTTTCAAATCCCCTGAGGGTAAGATTTTAACCCTCGGGCCAGACTATTTAAATGGTTTGGAAGCAAACAAAGCCAAAAGCACTGAGCAGTTTTGATCAAACAGGGAGGGACATCCGACCGTTGAACAACCACAAAATGATCAAATAGCAGATGAACTGGAAGTATACAGCGTTTTAGGAAATCTTGTCCAAGGTGGGTATTTGTGAGGATGTCTTGACAAAGCTCTTGAAAAAATTAATGGAAACAGAATGAATAGAATCTAATAGTGGCTGAGGATGACTTAAGCATCCACCAGCAGTGTTTCCCGTTATGTTGAATCTAGATGTACTTTCTTGTTTGTTTGTGTTTTGTTGGATACAACACCACACTGTGGCCACAAGAGTTGGAGTGACAGGTACAACAACCTGAGGCGGAGCTGTCATTTCAGGGCTTGTTTGTGAGTTGATAGGTGGGGAGGACGGTGCATGGGCATGGCAGACTCACTATATGTGGTGTTCTGCTTCGATCCAGTGGCTAAATATTGCATGTTCCATTAAATAGGGGTTTTCTTGTAAATCAACATGCAGTGCTGCTGGATAACAGAATTATTTCCTTCTGCAGCTCAATCTAATCTATACCTGGTGTATCAGCCCTTTATCACCGAGTTGTGCAACCAGTAACTGATATCAAATATCAGGAGGTCATATTTGTAAGTTCTTTGTGGTTATCATTGCTGTACAGAGACATAATATCTCCTGCGTAACATTCGGTCTGGCACACTTTCTTCAGTGTCTCAGAGATGAAAGAGCAGATACCACACACATATCATTCTTTTTTGTTTATTATCATAGAAAAATAGTTTATGTAGAAACAAATAAGTTAGGAATTCAAGCAGCTGCTTCATAATTTTTCCTCTGTTATACCATTTGTCGCCCTCAGCATTTTCTCTTTGTCACTCTCACATGCGTTCACAAGCACTCTTGCGGGGTTTTGGTCGTTTTGCCACTCTGTCACAAAGTCAGTCCTCTTCTGCCCCTCACCTACTCAGTAAGAGACCCAGAGAAACTCAGCTCATCTGACCGCTGAACTCCTCCGAATTTTCATCCCGGTCCGCGGTGAGTCTGAGGCTCACTTCCCGTAGAACATCTCCATGAGCACCTCCTCGATGTTGACCGTCCCTATGACGGGTCTGAAGAAGAGCTGCGCGACCACGGCCGGGCTGATGGACCTCAGCATGGACAGGGCTATGAGCAGCTTGGCGAAGCGCGTGGTGTCCTCGCGGTGGATGAGCCGGACGTGCTCGTTCAGAGCCTGGTGCGCCTCCCGCCGCAGAGACTGGATGTAGTGCAGGCACCGCAAACCCTCCAGATCTGAGAAAAACACACAAAGAAGACATCTCAGGAACGTTAGATGAGAGCGGAGAAGTGGAGGGGGGAAAAAAAAACCCGTCTTGAGATTTACGCATCCAAGCACACCCAACTTCTGATATTTACAGATGATCCATTCTGCTTTAGTCAGTGACAGTCTGATTTCCCAGTCAGTTTTTCTCATTAAAAAACTTAACTTAAACTTTTATGCACTGTGATGACAACAACCACGACCCACCTGAGTTGAAGAGCACAGCTCCCTTCAGATACGCGTACTCCTTCGTACTGATGTCCACGCTCCAGCACTTTTTCAGGAAAGCTCTAATCGCCTCGATGTCCAGGACGGACACCCCGACGGACGCCCTGCTCTGTCCGGCCGAGACCTCGCCCTGCCTGTCCGGCGGCCCGGTGAGGATGCGCTGCAGCATGCTGGGCTCCACGGTCTCCGTCGTCTCGAAGTCCACGCGGTCCTGCGCGAGCCCGAGCACGAGCAGCGGGGCCCAGCCGCTCCGGATGAGGGTCAGCTGGTCGTCCTCCGGCAGCTCGCGGAAGCAGGGGACGTTCTTGACGAAGCGCAGGGTCTTGACCAGCACCGCGGACGCGGCTTTGCAGGTCACCTGCGGGGAGCGCAGCACGCCCCGGCGGCGCGTGGAGCCGCACGAGCACGCCTGCAGGGGCCCCGGGACTGAGGAGGGGGGGCCCGGGGCGCAGGGGGGGCCCTTCTGGAGCAGGTGCTGCGCCGTTGGTTGGGGATGCTGATGTTGATGTTGTTGTTGCGGTTCCTCGGCGGTCACGAGGCTGTCGCTCCTCAGGATGCTGTAGAGAATGCTATTGTTGTTGTGGATGTTGTTCCGGCCCCCGGGGCCCCGGCAGCGACAGCCCTCCGCCGCGGCCATGACCGCCGGCCGCGGCTCCGTGCGCACGGCTGTGTGTCTCTCTCTGTGTGTGTGAAGCCTCCCGAGGTCAGCCGCGGAAGCTGCAACTGTTTGCGTGGCCCCCTGATAGCCCCTGATAGCCCCTGATGGCCCCTGATAGCCCCCGAGCGAAGGGGGCAGCCCGTTTATATCAGCTCCCGTCTGGCCGGGGCTCTGTGAGAGCTTGACTCAGACTTTTGTGCATATTCCTCCTCCCAGAGTGACGCACCTCCTCTTTTCTCCACCTTCTCTCTCCTCTGTCCACATACACACCGTTCAGAGTTTTCATACACACACACACATATATATATATATATATATATATATATATATATATATCATTAAAAAAAAACACGAAAGACAAGCTTATAAGACCGTAGCAAATGTACTGTTTTCCACATGAGCCCAACAGTCAATAGGCATGTTTGATTAAACGGGGTTGTTATTAACAACGAGGGGGAAAGAAAAGATGGAAAAAGTAATACAAAAAAGACCAGTTCTGTTCCCAGCATTGCCTTGACTCTCTGGCAGTGTTGTTTATCAAGGAGGAATCAGTAAAAAATATAGACCAGACATGGATCTGAAGGCTTAATTATTTAAGGGACAATTTATATGATTTTCTATGAGAAAGAAGGAGGAAGAGCCGAGCTGTGAAGGCCAGCCTCCATCCTTGACTCGGACACACTGATATTGATTTAAAAGTGGAGCCGGTGAATTATGATGTCATGACTCAGTGCTCCCCTTGCCTCTGTCACTGAAGGAGGATTGGGAGCAGCAGGGGGAGGTGGGCGGGAGAGGGGGTCAGTGCATGAGAGACCGAGAAGGACAGACCAGGATAAAGCTGATGAATTAGAGGTTTATCTTAATTGCTCCTAAGAGGGATCACAGGTTATAGGGCTGGCTGCTACCAGGGGGAGGAGGAGGCGGGAAAAGGGGCTCCGGGGAAATCAGAAGTGATTATGAAGGAGCTTGACCTTACATAAACCATGCAAAAGAGCAGGTGAAAGTGCGTGCGAGTATAGGAGAAAAGGTTTGGAGAAGATGTCCTGCCTTCTCGTGCTGAAGAAAGCAGTTCATGAAGACGTGTCACAAATACCTTTGTACTGTCAAATGAGTCTTCAGAGGAGATTGTCTTTACCACTGAGCACGTTGTTGCATTCATGAAATAGCAGCAAACGCAACCTTCATGTCCCCTGCTCCACAGATTCGAAGGACACCATTTTGAATAGAGGCTAGATGAAAACTTTTGCTGTAGTGCTGCAACATTGTTCAGGGGCCGAATGGTTTGTATTGATTTAGCCGAGGGAAAAAACAGAGAGATTTTTCACATGTTTATATCAAGGACGGCACGGAATAAACAGCCTTCACTCAGCCAGTCTCTTCTCCCGCTCAAGGCCCAGCCAGCGCAGGTTATAAAAATCCTTCTGTCTCAAGGAGAGATTACATTATGTCTTGTTGCTAAAGCACAGAGTTGAAGAGACAGCGCTCTGTCGCTCTTTGTCTCGCTCTTGGGTCCTCCTTTTCTTTTTCTTTTTATTTATCAGATTTGGCCGAGATGTACTTGATCAGTTTTTCCGCTCCACCATCTTTCCCCGCTGACAGGGTAAACACAATTTATCTTAAATATTTCCGCACTTCCTCTGCCATCAGTTCATGATGTGCAGCCAAGGGCTGTTCGAACTTGTAACATTTCAGAGGATGAGAATGAAAACGTTTCAATTGATACAAAATATCTGATTAATATGATGTACTGATTAGATCAGTATTATATGTATTCAGTCAAAGGGGAAAAAGAAATCTTTAAATGTATCTATTTTTCTTTCAACTTTTTTCTTTTTACATATTTATTCAAACTGGCATTGTTTTCTTATTGAAACCGTATATCTGGAGATAAAAGAAATATAAACCACAGAGAATGAAACAGGTTTTTCAAGTCATTTGTTCAATTCTAAAAGATGGAATATTGTTCAGCAGCCTTGAGAAAAAAAAACTTAAAATTCGCTCTCCTGTTTTATAGTTTGTGGATCCCGTTCTCTTCCTTTTTAGCTGTTTCTTGGTGGCTCGGCACATGGGCTGAAAAATTATCATCGTGCTGCTCCAAATTCAAACTCCAGAGCGTTGCACTTCAGCCGCCATATCTCAGTTGGACTTGGGTTCCACTAAAAAGATCTTCAGCATTCTCAACCATTTTCAGAACAGAATTTCAGACAGATTTTCTAATTAGAAGGTCATGTTTCATACACAATACACAATAATTTCTTGATTTTCTAAAAAATAACTCATGCAAAAATCTTATCTGTGGAAAATACAAACAGAATAGGGTCCAATTGAATTTAGAGGGTTGATAAAGCCTTCAGTACAGCATCTTGTTATGTTTTTGTGTCGTAACCACAGGCCGACATCGTCTTTAATTTCCTGTGATGTACAGCAGGTTTGACTTTGGCCCAGTGCCTGCTGGTACTGAATTCAATTTTAAATGACTCAGCATCAGGAGCCCCCCAAACAGCCCCATCACCCATGGATGTTCATATAATAAAACACACATTTATTTTAAACAGCATCATATCTTTAAGTTAACCCCAATGCTGATACAAGGATATCTTTATTCTGCACACATATGTGTGCATGCATGTGTGAAGATAGATAGATAGATAAAAACTTTTGTCTGTAACTACTCTAATTGCTGTGAAACCCAAGCTGTCCCAGTCAGACATCCCCCGCCAGGCTGCAGTTCTGTGTCTTGCTGTGATATTTAGAGCAAGGTCAGAACATAAGATGATATTTACTCAAACGAAGGGCATGGGAAAGTAGAACATGCAGGAATTAAAATGGAAGAGGAGTCCAAATAAAGCAATATTCCCAAATACTTTGGAACTTTTCAGAGTACTGTTAAGCTAAACTATTTAAAGACAGCTTTACAAGACTGAAAATATGCCCTGGAGGAAGTTAGACGGTTACCTAAAGTCCAGCATCATTTTACATTTCTCACGTCCTTTCTGCTATTTCAGATGTTTTACCGATCTGTTCCCCGAACAATTCATTTTGAGATGAAAAGTTGTTCAAAATGTGCTGATTTTTCGACCAAATTAAAAAAATGTTATCAGTAAAGTAAGTATTGTTGTGTGCTTTCGCAGCAGTGAGCATTTCCCGAAGGCTGATCTCGCAAATTGAATGCTGAGGTTACCGTGACCCAACATGACAGCTCTTTGGCACATTCAGTCTCGCCGGCCTTGAAACACAAGTGTGGAGAAAAACACAAGGTTTTTACCAAACACTAGGGGCTCTGACACCCACAGACACTCCAAGACAGGTCTCAGAAACTTAAGAGGACAACTTTGTCTGATTCAAGGCTTTACATAAATGGCTCGCCTGGAAAAGTCTCGTACCACATTGTTTGTTGATTTGTTGGGCACTCTTCTGGCGGTTGCTATAGTGACTGCCTCCATTTTCTCTCTGTGGCTGCTCACATAAAGGACTGTGTCCTTGTCTCCATAATAGTTACAAATTGAAAACTGCACTTTCCAAGGACTCATGTCACCAACTTACAGCAAAGTGAAAGTTTATGTGTGTTTGTGTGTGTGTGAGAGGACGAAATAAAGGGTAAAACCTATGGTCTATTAAAAAAATGATTCTTTCTCTAAAACAAAGAAAGGTAAACATAAACAGCATAACATGAAGTTGGGAGGGGTGGAAAACAGAATAATATTTAAAGAAGGATGATATATCCTTAAGAAAAACGAGGACATGTTTGATGTCTAGTTCATAAAAACAGATTTGAAAAATTCCCTGTTTAAAGCGTCTGCTTGATAATACTCTGATCACCAACATGAGCGCTACCCTGCTGATATTTTTCCTCCTCTATGGTGTATTTCAGCAGGAAATTTTAGATCTATTAGAAGACATAGGAATGTGTTTGACATTTATTCAAAGCTGACGCACCCACATAAATTAGTACATTTCAGTCATAATTTGTTATTTTTGTGTTATGATTCAGATGTCCCAAAAAATGAAAAGTAACAGGAAGCTAATTTAATTTAACTTTAGCCAGTGTTGGGAGAAAGAGGAAAAAATGTTGAGAAGTGGGACATGGGTAAGCTTGCACAAACACTGATAACACGGTAGTAACAGCAATCAATTCAGTTCAACAGCTACTATGATGTCACTCACAAAACTTTCTTTTGCTTGAGAAGTATTATGTAACAGTCAAACCGTTATCATTGAAGGGAAATAGGGCAGGAATTAAAACAATTCAAATCTGTGCTTCCATTGAAAGGGGGAGGGATGGGGTTTATAATTCAAAACTTCAGTGTTGGTATTTCAGAATCCATCAGATCGTATGGGGTCGTGTGTTTTAGTTTTTTTTCCAGTTTCATTTAATCCAAGGATTTTATTAATCACAGCACTGAAAAAATATATATGTTGAAACTCTTGTTTTCTGATGTTGGCAGTGGGCGAGAGGAGGGGTACACCCTGGAGAGATCACCAGTCCATCACAGGGCCACACAGAGACAAACAACCACACACACTCACATTCACTCTAAGAGGCAATTTTGGGTGTCCAATCAACCTAACATGCATGTTTTTGGACAGTGGGAGGAAGCCGGAGAACCCGAAGACAACCGTTTTCTAATGCTTTCGTACATTATTTTGCACTTTGCATGAAATTGGGTTAAATAGAATTTCAGAACAGTTTGAACTCTGCAAATTCTTCTAGAAATTAGCACTCAGGGTCTATTGGGACTAGAGCCTATATCATCTGACATGAGGCAAAGAAACCACACACAGACTCACGGGCAATTTTGAGTCACAAATAAATTTGACCTGCATGTTTTTTAAATGTGGGAGGGAGCCAGAGTGTCCTGAGAGAACATGGAGAGACATTCAAAGAGACTGTGTCGCGTCTTCATTTTTTCTGCCTGACAACTCTTATGTTGATAGATTTTGACCTCAGAGTGGAAGTTCAATTGACTTCGGTTGATCTTCAGCAAAGAGTGATGTTAAATCCGCTGTAATGAAGTAACCCCGGCTTCCAAAGGATCCGCCGACAGTAACTCCGAGCTTTTCATTTTAGCTGTGAACCCATCCACCATGTAGAACACGGCTCTATGACACACAGGGCCTGTCTTTGAACAAACACGGCA